AATCCAACCATAATTATAATAAACTGACTGTACCTGTCTACATGTGTATGTTCTCATCACCACAGTAGCTAGGCACAATATGAGGAGTATATTGTGATCCTAACACTTTCACATGTCATCATCACTCCTAGAGGTTGTCTCCCAGGAGTAACACTTCTGCATCATTCTGCTACTCCATTACTGGGGAAAGCCACTCCGAAGTGAGGAGCTCATCAACTGACCTTAGAAGTGGTAAGAGGTTGGTTCATCTTGACCTTAGGTACCATGGAATTGCACAGTGCCTCCCCCTGGAGACCTCCTGTCATGCATGATAGTGGCAGGGAGGTGGTCTCGGAGAACTAAGCCTTGCCCATTGTTGGCTTTAAAGATGAGGGAATGGATCTTGGATCAGTCCAAACTCAGGTCCGAAATGTTGTGATAAATGAGCCTACAAATTTACTCTAACTGTGAGCTCAGCTGTAAAAAATGTGAGATGTCACAGTACCCTATAGTGACAAATGTTGATGGGGAAAGGTACAAAAAGGAGACAGACTAAATTAGTCTAAATAAAAGGGCCTACTGATAGGGTTCAAGGAACATGTTAAAATCATGCTTGGTAAAAACAGAACATGTGGAATCAGGAATTTATGAACCAAAATTGGTGTCAGATAGTAGGCCTAAGTGGTGGACAAAATAATGAGGGGATGGGGTATTCCATCCATCAATCCCTTTGTGAGTCCTTAAAGAAAGCCTTTGGAGGAAAAATAAGGAAAGAACAAACAGAAGCTACTGAAGTGAGCATCACCATCATGGCTGCCACCCCCACTGTCTTCTGGGACTCCAGACCTTCTTCATCCTAATCCTGAGGAATGACCTGACCAGAGTGGGCCAGAGAGTGAGGGACCCAGATGACATCACCACCCCTACCAACTCCAGCAGAATCCCAATCACCTGAGATGAAACGGGACTGGACGTTAACAGTGCCAGCCCTTCTCAACTAATTTCTTCTTTTCTCCCCAAGGAAAAGTTATTACCATCTTTGATACGCTCTAAGAAGCTATCAAACATGGGATTTTTTCCCCTCCACAACTCTCTCCAGCTAAAGGGAAAGATAACAGAAAATGATGTTAAAATGAACATTTTTCCTTCTTTTCTTTATCTATTTCAGTATCTGTAAAAGGGTAAAAAGATTTTAATGGGATGTTCGCCATGGTACTGTAAGGGACCTAGGCATAGGCAGTCTGACCTAGCAGTCACAGCTGGGCTGCTGTCACCAAGCCCAGGGCAGTCACGAGGCAGTAGTCAGTGTGGAGGGATCAAAGTAATTGCTAGAGCCAGGATTAGTAGGCAAAAGCCAGGATCAGAGTCAGGCCAGGTCAGAGACTGGAGATCAGCAAGCAAGGTGAGGTCTAGAGCCCAGCAAACCAGAAGTCTGCATGGCTGCTCAGACAACTTTCCTGGGGCACCCTCCTGGGTTAAATAGTGAGCCTGGGCCCATCAGATGGTCACAGGCTGCTGTTGCTATGGTCCCTTTGAGCGGTTCTTCTTAACACACTTAATCTCCCCAGTGCTCCTTGCATATGGTTCTCTGAGGCCTCCTGGTGGGGATGTGGGAACATCAGCTGTGCCAGGCTCTGCAGACCCAGCGTTCTAGTCCAGCAGCTCCTTACTGGTACTAAGGAGGCTGAGATCTCTGTAGACCAAGCCCCGAGCCTTGTTTAACACTGCTTAATGTTGGACAGTAACTGGGTTATGCTAACACCTGTATTCCATCTAAATGAACACAACAGGAGTCAGTACAGAGTGAAGAGAGACGGTGCTGTGTGTCTATTAGATCCACCCAGACGAAGGGAGGTGGTGACACAGTATGAGGTGAGATGTGAAGGAGCTGGGATGGGGAGTGATGACATAAAGGAAAGCAGGAATTCAGTTGCAGAAGGGTCAGACTCGCTCCTAGTATGCACGTGTCTTCCCGAGAAAGGGTTCTGCTCTCAGACAGATGAAGCTATCAGGGGCTCAAAGGGGTGAAGGAGATGTCTAGCAAGCAAAGACGAATCTGGCCCCTGGTCAGCAACCTATGTCTGATGGCAAAGGGCTCTTTAACGTCCGTGGCTCTCACCAGTGCAGGCCTGGGGCCAGGTCCTTAGCTGGTGTAAATCAACCTAGCTGTCTAGACGTTAGTGGAACTCTGCTGATTTACAGCAGCTGGGGATGTGGTCTGAGTTGGAGTGGCCGCAAAGAAACATTTGCAGGTGTGTGTCATACTCTGTGGAAATTTGTCCACGTCACCAAGCCAGTACAATTAGTCACGTTTGGCAGACTCGGCTCCTGAGAGGCCCAGGACCGTGATAGCAGGAGGGGCTGCAGGCCACAATGACCAAGGCACTGGCCTATGAGAAGGAAGTTTACGCAGCATCGGCCTGAAGTGCAGGCTCTATTGCCCATCAAAGGATGAACAGGAGTTGCATACGTGCATCGACTATTGCCTGGCTCCAGGCAGTGATATCAATCAATTCCCTGCCATTGCAGGGGTCTGAGGCATTGGTGCATTTCGATCCCTCCTGTTCTCTGCCTGGGGCACATAATAGTTTAGTCTCCTGAGGATTGTAATACTTCGGTCTAATTCCAGTTATTGGCTTGGGATGGGGGTGCCTGGATGGTGTTGACCTCCTGTAATATATATATACAGGAGGTCAAACTAGAAGCTTTGGTGGTCCCTTCTGGACTTAAACTTGACGAGTCTATCCTCTTCCCTTACTTACATGAGTGTGAAATCCATCTGTCAAACGTTTATTATAGAAACAGGACTGAATGCATCTGACCATTCCTATGGGATAAGCCACTGGACAAGGTGCACAGATCTAACCCTCAGGACAGAAGGTGTGGATAGGTTACAAGAAATCTTTCCATTCCACAGCAAAGAGCTATGTAGATTCAAGACCCACATTGGAATTCAAAGCTGCTTTTAGAAAACCTGCAGTGAAAATGAAGCATACACTATATCCCCCTACAGTAAACCACAGCCAAGAAAAAACCAACAAATGGAAAAATGGCCATGTGCCCAGACCTCTCCACAGCTCATTTAGAAGAGCTCAGAAACTGTCCTTGAAAATGCAGCCTCTTTGTGAACCATCAGAGCTTCTCAGTTAACTCTCCTTGCTGGCATCCCATGTGGCCTTCAGGTGTCACTGGAGAAGCTCAAAAATGATACTAAAGCAGACCTCTGCAAAGCCACAGATATCCCTTGCTGACTATGGCAAAACACAGCTCAGCGTTGATAGTCAAACTGGTTAAAGGGGAGACTACAACGGGTCGTACTCAAAGGTGAACTGTCAGGCTGGAGGGAGGTTACTAGTGGAGTTCCTCAGGGATCGGTTTTGGGACCAATCTTTTTATTACTGACCTTGGCACAAAAAGTGGGAATGTGCTAATAAAGTTTGCGGATGACACAAAGCTGGGAGGTATTGCTAATACAGAGAAGGACCGGAATATCATACAGGAAGATCTGGATGACCTTGTAAACTGGAGTAATAGTAATAGGATGAAATTTAATAGTGAAAAGTGCAAGGTCATGCATTTAGGGATTAATAACAAGAATTTTGGTTAGTTGGAAGTAACAGAGGAGGAGAAGGACCTCGGAGTATTGGTTGATCACAGGATGACTATGAGCCGCCAATGTGATATGGCCATTAAAAAAGCTAATGCCGTCTTGGAATGCATCAGGCGAGGTATTTCCAGTAGAGATAAGAGAGGTGTTAGTAGGGTTATACAAGGCACTGGTGAGACCTCATCTGGAATACTGTGTGCAGTTCTGGTCTCCCATGTTTAAGAAGGATGAATTCAAACTGAAACAGGTATAGAGAAGGGCTACTAGGATGATCCGAGGAATGGAAAACCTGTCTTATGAAAGGAGACTCAAAGAGCTTGGCTTGTTTAGCCTAACCAAAAGAAGGCTGAGGGGAGATATGATTGCTCTCCATAAATATAACAGAGGGATAAATATCAGGGAGGGGGAGGAATTATTTAAGCTTAGTACCAATGTGGACACAAGAACAAATGGATATAAACTGGACATTAGGAAGTTTAGACTTGAAATTAGACAAAGGTTTCTAACCATTAGAGGAGTGAAGTTCTGGAACAGCCTTCCAAGGGGAGCAGTGGGGGCAAAAGATATCTGGCTTCAAGATTAAGCTTGATAAGTTTATGGAGGGGATGGTATGATGGGATAGCCTAATTTTGGCAATTAATTGATCTTTGATTATTAGCAGGTAAATATGCCCAATGGTCTGTGATGGGGTGGGATCTGAGTTACTACAGAGAATTCTTTCCTGGGTGCTGGCTGGTGAGTCTTGCCCACATGCTCAGGGTTTAACTGATCGCCATATTTGGGGTAGGGAAGGAATTTTCCTCCAGGGCAGATTGGCAGAGGCCCTGGAGGTTTTTTGCCTTCCTCTGCAGCGTGGGGCATGGGTCACTTGCTGGAGGATTCTCTGCACCTTGAGGTCTTTAAACCATGATTTGAGGACTTCAATAATTCAGGCATAGATTAGGGTTTGTTACAGGAGTGGGTGGGTGAGATTCTGTGGCCTGCATTGTGCAGGAGGTCAGACTAGATGACCATAATGGTCCCTTCTGACCTTTAAGTCTATGAGTCTATTAATATAAAAACTGCCATCCCAAGATCCATCTAGATTGGTGACCTGCTCCTGACAGTGACCATTGTCTGATACTGCAAAGGAAGCCACTCCATAATGCACCTCCTTGTGCAAAACTACTTACCAGGAGTCAGATCTCATGCTATCCTTAGCTACGGATCATCTTAGGACCTGGGTTAGTAGCCTTTGTAATTTTACCCGGGTAAGCGTAGCTGAAAATGCTATTATTCATGCAAACGTCTAACCTTTTTTGAAATGTGAAGGAGTATCTGTCATACTGTGAGGAAAGTGGCACACATGTTTTTGGAGCAGGATCAAAAAAACCCATGCTGCACTTGCATATTCCTTTGCATGAGTCTGTCTTACCTTCTGATAGTTCTTAACAGGGTGGACCTGGCTTCATTGTGGAAGGTGATGATGATACTTGTTGACGGCAGATCTGGACGATAGTGCAAAGTTGTACATCTGAGAAGTTGGAAAAGATACAGGTATCACTAAAGTTCTGGAATGTAAAATGGCAGCTTATTTAATAGACACAAACATTAAAGGCACAGTGTAAAGGTAGATGTTCTCCTGACACTACTAAAATAGTGGTTTTCTGAGCTATTCATTTCTGTTTGACCCAGAATCTATAACATTCTACTCTGTGGGATAAGTTGCCTGGGAATTCTACCATCCCCCTTTAATTCAGCTTTGTTTCTGGGAGTGGGTAACCCTACTGTGACTAGCAATGGACATCCCCAAAGAGGTTCAATTTATATAGACACAGTGTTTGAGGAACCCAAACAGACTTTTGATGTGCATTCCTGGCACAGATATTGTTACATCACAACACAAACAGTATTATGCAGTGGGGCCAGCCCAGAAGAGTTCCCAACAGCCTGACCAGGCCTGTCCTTCTCCTGCACTTTGGGGATTGGGACCCAGGGCACAGGATTCTTCCCCCCTGTAGCTGGTCCCTTCCAGAAGGCTTGGGATGAGCTCCCAGAACTTGAGGCTCTTTTGACTGAGAAGTGATCACACCACACTGAAAACATCTGCTCATCCAGCCCTGAGTGATGTATGAATAAATGCATAAAGAATATTTCTCAGATGCAGCTACAGTACAAGGGTCAGACTTTCTGCTTCTCTAGCACCCTTCATCTAGGGATCTAAAAGCACTTTATACACATTAATTACTTATCCTCACAAGACTGTACAGCTGGAATTATTCCTCCTACTTTACAGAAGAGTCAATTGAGGCACAGAGAGGTTATGTGAAATGCCCAAAGCTACACATTGAGGTAGTGGCAGAGCCACAATTAGAACCTAGGTATCCTGGCCCCCAGTCCTTTGCTCTAACCACTAGATAATACTCCTTTCTAGTTCACATGCCCTCTTGGAGCTACCAGCACTACATCTCAGTTCCTCTCCCTTCCCCAAGAAATGGAGAACAGAAAGCTCTTCCTTTTCTGAGTCACTCACCAATGCAAACATGTACTTGGTTGTAGCCTGATTTAGGGTGTACTAATGTAATGTATCAATTCTATATTTTAATTTTAATTAATTAATTAATTAATTAATAATAAATTATTAATATTAATTAGTATGGGTTTTAGGCTCACCAATCTGTTTGATCAGAAGATAAAAGTTCTTGTCCTGAATAAGGCTCCACAGAATTTACAAAGGCCTCCCAGGGTATGACAGGAAGCTCACACTGAGACAGATATAGCCTTAAAGACTCTTTATTAAAATCAGTGAAATAACAATTAAATGGTAAAATAATCAGAGTTACAAAGTTACAATTGCATGACTGCTATTCAAAAGATACATATGGTAATATAGGATTATATGCTACAAAGCTTTGGTTAATATACTCACACCCTTCCTTGATAACACAGGAACAGCCTTGCGGTTCAGGTTTCTCAATTCTTGAGTGAGGGATGCAGTGCTTACTGCTTAGAAGAAACTAATGCTAAGAGCTATCAAAACTAACTTAGGGTTTACTTGACTAACAAACTTAAAATCAAAACCTAATAAACAAACTAAGAATAAAAGCTTAGGGAAACCAAGCTTAGCCTAGTTCCCTTGAAACTTAGAAAGTTTAAGAAGAACAAGTACAGCCTAGTAATAGTAGTAGTCATAGTAGGTAGATAGAATAGAATAGAAGAGGAAGAGGAATAGAGATAGAGTAGAAAAAGAATACTCTAGCGAGGTGGGTCACCTCTTTTATAGGGCACAAGTGCCAGAAATCCTTCCCCCTATGCTCAAATTTCATACCTCAACCACAAAATGTTAGGGTACACTTACCCCATAGGCTAGTATGTTTGTGCATATTGATGACATGTACCTACGCTCATATATTATTTCTGTTCTTTAGTCATTTCAGTTCTTTCCTTGTGGTGTACCTGTTAAGTCTGTGGGTACAAATTGAAACTCCCCACCATGCCATTCTTCCATTGTCTATTAGACTAGATAAATGGTCTTAGACATATGCGTGGGTGCTTATCTATTTAGGTAACAAGTCTCAATATATAGGTCAACTTTGCTTTCTGGGTAAAAGGTCTTAATATAGATATGCTAACATACAGGTTTTTGGCCTATAGGTCTCTTGCATTACAGCCAAACTTATTTTCAATATTAATCTATAAACCTATTACAATAAACCAAATACTTAAACAAGAATATATATATATATACACACACACACACACAGTAACTCCCCACTTAATGTCCTCTCGCTTAACGTTTTTTCGATCTTGCGTCCCTGCTCAATTACAGAACAAGCTCCATTTAAAATTGTGCAATGCTTCGCTATAACATCATTTGGCTGCCTGCTTTGTCCACCGCTGGCCGCCCCCCATCAGCTCCCCTATGCCCCCCCACAGCACCTCCCACCCGCCGGCAGACCCCGTGGATCAGCGCCTGCCCCCTCCTGCCCGCAGCAATCAGCTGGCTTGCCGCACGCAGGAGGCAGGAGAGGGAAAGGGGAGCCTGCGCGCTGAGTCCTCGCTCCTCCCGCCCCCTGCCCACGGCAATCAGCTGGCTTGCGGCGTTCAGGAGGCCGGGGGGTGGGGGGGGGATCCTGTGCGCCGTGTCCTCGCTCCTCCCCCCTCCTTCCTGCCTTCTGAACACTGCAAGCCAGCTGACTGCCGCGGGCAGAAGGCAGGGGCGGGAAGGGGGAGGAGCAAGGACGCGGCGTGCAGCGTAAAGGGAGGGCGGAAGAAGAGGCGGGTTAAGGGTGGGGGCTTGGGGGAAGGGGTGGAGTGGGCAGGTTGAGGGTTGAACCCCCCGCCCCGGTGCTTGCAGAGTAGGGGAAGCTGCCACTGCTGCTGCACAACCTGCTTCTCCTAGCCTACAGCACCTTCAGCCTCCTTGCCTGCCTCATTGTCTCCAGTGCCAGTGGGCTGTGCCTGTGTGGGGTAAGGTGGGGGCACCTCCCAACTAGAGTACTGTACTGTATGGCAAAAAAAAATTTCCCTGGAACCTAACCTCCCCCCCCCAATTTACATTCATTCTTATGGGGAAATTGGATTCGCTTAACATCGTTTCACTTAGTCACATTTTTCAGGTACATAACTACAACGTTAAGTGAGGAGTTACTGTATATATATGCAAGCAAGCAGGTTAGTCCTATAGGCTACACGGTTCAGTTTCTAACACGAGTGAGCCAAACCTACAAACAAGTGCACAGTATATAGCGTTTCACAGAACCAAACAGAGTTAAGGAAATTGGGATTTCAGTGCTAACTGGGGAGAAAACTGTGGTCAATTGAAACTTTAGGTCCCCAAACTGTGGGGCATGCCCCTCTAGAGGGGCACAGAGGAATGTTTGGGGGGGCAATAAGCAGGGGGGGGGCAAGCCTGCACAGAGGGCGGGGAGGGAGCACCACCCAGCCCCACCCTGCCCCCAGCTCTGCTCCGGCCCTGCCCCCAGCCACAGCCCTGACTCCTGGCCCCGCACCTGGCCCCGTCCCCAGCCTTGGTGCAGCTTCGCTCCCAGCTCCACCCCTAGCCTCAGCCCCCTTACTCCTGTCTGTGTCCCCCCACCCACCTCCACTGGGGGGGTGAAGACAGGAGCAAGGGGGCACACAACCCTGAAAAGTTTGGGGACCACTGGTCTAGTAGCTATAACACTGCTCTGAAAATTAGGAGACCTGGGTTCTGTTCCTGCATTTGTCCAGGGCCATGGGCAAATCCCTTCACCACCCTTTATTTTGTCTACTTAGTTTGTAAGCATTCTGAGTCAGCGACTGCCTCTTTCTTGTTAATTTTTTTAAAGCACAATGGGACCTCGATTTCATACAGCCTGGGGCTCTGTTGTGTCCATAATGTAACCAACAATTCAGGCCACCTCATTGTTCCCATACATGAGTATCCCTTTGTTCTCGGCCTTTTGCGCTAGAAATAACCTAGTGCAGAAGTGGCACGTGAAGTTCTACGTCAGTCTAGAACAGCGATTGGATGAATGGAGAACAATCTCCCAATGTTCATGGTGTGTAGAGGCCGAGCCCTCTCCAGCCCCCTGCACCGCACTGTGCTCATTCCTCTGGTGTTTCACGCAGCCTGCAGGAGCTTTGTAGTTAAATCCCCAAGACTTTGTCTTGCATCATCATCAACGGGTTTCTGTGGAGCCTGAAAACTATTCGGTCTCTTACAACAAAAACAATTTTTAAAAGGCTCCTTTGACATATCTCATTGGCTTTTCTGCCACAGAAACTCCAGGACCTGATGCTGATCTGACTTACAGCAGCTTGGCACCATTGCCTTCCATGGAGTCATTCCCCATTGGCACCAGCACGAATGAGATCAAAAGCAGGTCCTCAGTGAAGATGCTGATGCACACACAAGCTTCTGGCATGAGGTCATCTGTGAGATTTTTATTCCATGTGCCATTTTAGCAGCTTTGTGAGCATCATGCGGCACTCTCATTTCGTCTCAGTAGGCTTGCAGCATCACACGGAGATCTTTTTTTAATCTGAGTCCGCCCTTTCTGTCAATATTTACTCCAGCAGGATAGAAGGAATCACTGATAGAGTATAAATCAAACAGAATAAACTATGTGGGGGTGGGGTTTAAAGCAGCAGAAAAAGGGAGATCTCAGAAGATCTCTCTCTTCTTTTCCTTTACGGGACTGAACTCCCACGCAGTTTTGTCTGTTGACCTTCTAGTCCTGTAAGTGCACAGACCAGCAGGATGATAAGTGAGAGTTAGAGAATAGACTAGAGAAGGGTCAAATCTACAAAGCAGAGATCCTAGTTGAACTTGCCTAATGTCTAGGGGCAAGTCCAACCATGCAGTTTTTGTTCAGGCCTATCCCTAGAAAAGGGAAACACGCTGACTTCCTGGGGCAATGAATTCCATAGGTTCTAAATTGATTGTTTCTAAATTCACTGTTCTTTAATAACACAATGTGGCCACTGGGACAGGATAGAAAGGAGAGACTGTTTTCACTACAGTCTTTAGACTATGGAGTCCAGGATCCA